TAAAACAAATTCTTTTAAAGATTAATTAATTAATATAAATTAATCTAGAAAATAAAATAATTAATATATTTTACATATTTTATAATGGGAACTATTTAAAAAAATATTTAATAAAACATTTAATTAATATAATTCACATAAAACATAATATTTTTATATTAATATAATAACATGATTATTTAATCTAGAAATTAATATATTTTACAATAAGAACAAATATTAAACAAAATATTGAATTAATATAATTGATATAAAACAATATTTTATATTAATATAATAACATGATTATTTATACATATTTAAATAATAATGCATAAAACATTTTTTAAGTAGTACATGCCGTTTTAGGCAGAGAATTCCATAAAAACTGCAACAATGCAAAAAAAAATTTACCGGTCCATAAAGTAGACTTCCTTGTCTTTATGCAAAATAATTAATCTTTTGCACAGACATATTTGATGTGCATGTCTGTTCTGCAGTATGTGGGATATGCATGAGCGCATGAATAAACACCAGACAGCTCTGCCCGCACCTCTATGCGCTCTGTGTGCTTTTAGATTCTTCATTAAACTCCCTCTGTGTTTTTGTTTCATTTATTCCTCATTCGTTTTATTCCTGTCTGAAGCGTGTCGCTGCAAGTCAACTAAAGCCAACTTTAATTTGCCTCCCTGCTCCACCAGCATGACAATAGGTGTGTGTACGTACTGTGTGCTTTGACAAATCTGTTTAAGTATGAACCATGTCGGTGTTTGTGCTGTGAATTTTGTAACTTAATATCTGTTTACAGTCATCAACAATCTGCAAACCTCAAGACTCCAGGATGATGCAATCAACACCACACACACACACACGCGCGCACACACGCGCACACACACGCACACACACACACATACAGAGTTTGCATCATTCAGGTGGAATGAGAGACCATCTAATTACCCTGTGATGAGTGTGATAAATCTGATTAAACATGTCTATCTTACACATGTCTGTCTGCAAACCTCATACCACACAGAGCTGTCTGACTGAATGTGTGTGTTAAGACTTAGGCATAAAGGTGAAGTTGGGCCGACGCAAGAGACAGACACCCAGAGAGACAGTGCCCTGAGGTGAGAGATAACTATGCTAATATCAGACATAACAGTGAGGTTTTGATGTATCACACACTCACACAGGCCTACAGCAGTCACAGACACACAGTCTCCCGACAGCTAAAGCTCTGTTAATGTGTTATGTCTGCTTCAGATGTGTGTGTGTCGGCAGTCTTGGTCTCTGACAGCACCATGAAGACATAATTCCTCTCCTAATCCACCTGCAGATACGGATACTAGATGTGCTTTACCAGCTCAAGCGCACTCCTGATGCGGTAAGAGTAAATCTCCCATTCTTCTCGCTCTGAGCTCTGCATGAGTCACGGCTTTGGTTTTGCAGGAATGCTTGTGTAAGCGTCCACCCTTCAGAAATCAGGTCAATCTGATGGAGGAATTTACCAAAAACCCCAAACAAAAACACTAGCGAAACATTCAGTGCCTCTAATTCACTGGCTCATTGTGGATAAACTGCTCATCAATAATGAACGTTACGAAAGTAACCACATTTTTACGGGTTCCGGTTGACCATTACATCATGTCCTAACCAGACACAAGTTATATTTTTTAAGGCCTTGCAAAACAACAAAATTATATATCTGTTGTTTATATGTATAAAATGTTTACTTTTATTCAGCAAGGATGCATTCAATTGATTAAAAGTATAAGTAAAGGCATGTTAAAAAATATGTAAAAAGATTTTATTAAATAAATGCTGTTGTTTTGAACTTTATCTATTCATCAAAAAATGTTGAAAAAATATTATCATGTTTTACACAAAAATATTAACAGCATCAAATCATATCATTGAGCACTAAACCAGCATATTAGAATGAGTTCTGAAGGATCATGTGACACTGAAGAATGTAATGGCTGCTGAAAAATCAGCTTTGTCATCACAGAAATAAATTACATTTTAAAGTATATTAAAACCAAAAATAGCAGTTTTAACTTGGAATAATATTTAAAAATGTTACTGTTTTTACTGATCAAATAAATGCAGCCTTGGTGAGCAAAGACTTCTTTCAAAAACATAAAAAAAAAAAATGTGTGTATATATATGTATATATATAATGGGTGGAGCTACCTAACATGACCTGACAGAAATAGAAACTAAGTGACTGACAAAATGAATGATGTACACAGCATCTAGTTTTAACATGCTATCAGAACTAACGAACTTACAGAAGTAAGGGATAAATTCATAGGATTAGGTTCGACTATGGATTTGCGAATGGTCAAAAGAATGAAAATAATATGAAAGAAGTGCAGCGGAACGTGATTTGACCCTCGGGTGCATTTGGTCTTTCTCGCTTTTTGATTGATCGCAGAGAGATGTGAGTCACGACTGCTTAGATAATCGTAAACACATGCCAACTCCGTTTGAGTTTTACGAAAGATGAGCAATTCTGCCTACACGACAGATGCAGTGAGCAAACAAGAACAAATAAAAACAGTGAAATTGTTTAACGAAATGACAAAATAAAAGCCAATGAAAACATATCCGATGTTTGATATACAACTGTGTATCCAGCTCGGAATAAATTCGTAGATTTATGACCCGAATGATCGAAGGATCTAAATCAAACTCATTTGAGGCTCTTGATCTTAGATGAGCGTTTGATTGAAATGTGAGTGATTCAGTCCATGCTGCAGAAACGGTGAGCAAACAGAAATGAATAAAAGAAGCACATTTCGGCAGTACGGGTGGGGTGTGAAATCTACCTGGGTGTGTATGTCTATTTGAAAATAGAAACATAGACTGCGAGCGAAGTGCATACGTGCCTTTGAGAGTGTGAGCGTTTTGCTGGTTTGCTAGCAGACATCATGCTCAAACGTCTTTACTTGCATCTGAAAACGTATCCTCAGCCACTATCACACACAGTGACGTGGGAGCCGAGATCGAGAGGGGTTGCTAGATTCCAGACGTCGAGGTGCGAGTTGTTGTGACGAGTCTGAACGTCTGAATCAAGCAAACACACACACTGGATCTGTAGGGCATCCAGGGACAAAACACGCACCTGGTATCGGTGTGGTGCTGGAGGGGTTGTAATGGGTCTGGTGGGAGCGGGTGGTCCCGTTGCCAGGGTTCATCCTCAGACCGGCCCTCTGGAAACGCTCGATGTCACTCAGGCGATCGGAGAACTGCTTATGAGGGTCGTCCGGCTTCATGCGGTGACCTGCACAGAGATGGAGAGAAATGCAGTGGGTTATTAGTAAAGCAATATCCCAATAAAAGTTAACCATAACAAAGCAGAATGATGGTTTTTTTTCATGAACGTTTATAGTAAACATATTTTATTTTGGAGTAAATCAAGCCTGTGTCAGTTGAAAGATGAAATTTGAAACTTTAATGACTAATACAGGAAAAACAAACATGTAACATAACATTGTCCGGTCATTTTGTTTATGCACATGAACTTTCTGGTTATTTATTACTGAGGTGATTTCTGTGAGTGGAGTTTCTCCATGTAAACATCCCCTTTCTGTTATCATGCACATATTTTGTGGAAGTTTTAAAGGCATTACTGAAGTTAAAAGATTGTATATCAGGCAAAGGCTGTAAGGAAATTCATAACGACACGTACACTACCATTTAAAAGTTTGGGGTTGGTAAGATTTTTATTTGATAAAAAACACAGTAAAAACAGCAAAATTGTGAAATATTATTACAATTTCAAATAACATGTTGTTAAAAAAATTACATAAAAAATGTTGAAAAGTGTTGTGCTGCTTAATATTTTTTGTTGAAACTGGGATACTTTTTTTGATGAATAGAAAGTTCAAATGAACTGCATTTATTTGAAATCAAAATTTTATGTAATATTATAGATGTCTTTATTGTCACTTTTGATCAATTTAATGCCTCCTTGCTGAATAAAAGTATTAATAATAAAAATAATCATACTGACCCCAAACTTTTGAACAGTGGGGTACAATGTCTTTTTAAAAATGTATTTGCTTTTTTTAAATAAAAAATAAAAACAGTAGGATAAGTTGAAATTATTTTCCGTAGTAACTGACATTGTGCTACAAATGCAGTAAATAGAGTGCAAACAATTTCATATATGTAGCATTCAGAAACAAAATAGATTAATTTCCATATTATTAATTTGAAAGAACACACCCCTTCTCTTTGTAAAAAAGGAAAAAAGTGAAATAAATAAAATGTATTAAAAAAAATATTTCAAATTTAAAAAAAATATATATATTTTTTTAAATAAATAAATAAATAATTTCCATATAACAATTAAAAATAAACTCACTAAAATACAAAGGCAGCAGCTTTCTAAGACAGCATCCTAACTGACTTATGGAACCTGTTTTGAAACACTTTGCAATGACAACAATTCACACAGGAGCAAACACACTAACAAATGATCCTAATAAAGTTTGACATCAGTGTTTCACAAAGCTAACAACATCCTGTTCTAATAAGCACAGAAATACACAAATATTGAGTAAAAAGTGTCTGGAAAAGAGCTTATGGCTTTCAGACAGAGCTGTGTACTCAGTCGTGACTCATCCACAGAGGAAATCACCAAGAAAAACCTTGCTGTGAGTGTGTGTGTGTGTGTGTGTTTATTACAGACAGTAAGTTGCTATAGCCATTACAGACACACCCCCCCCCCATCATCATCATCATCATCAAACATCAGTGACTGTGTGTGTGTGAGTGTGGGCTTATCACAGACAATAAGTTGCCATAGCCATTACACACACACACACACACACACACACACACACACACACAATCATCATCATTATCATATGTGTAGTCTGGTCGGCTCTAATGGATGAGTTTAATGTGACTATCAGTGTGAGGAACATGTGAACATTTTGTGGTTTTTAATGTGGAGTAATGGCTGTATTTGAATATTTTATTCAGATATAGAGGGATAACAGACGCTGTGATATGGATTTTGTGTGTTCTTGCCCTCTCTTTCACCCAAGGGCAATACATCACTCCACATTTTTGTACCCCCGGGGTAATATTTCTGTCAGTTTATCGTTCCCTCCATTTGTTGCTGCTGTCTCCCTCTCTGATTTGATTTAAATGGTAAATAGCCTTTTTTCTGTACTTTTTGGTTTGTGTATGAATTGTGGGATACACAAAACAAAAATCTCAGATTAAAAGAAAAAATTACTTTTTAGTTGTTTCCCCTAGACTGAAATGAGACTAAATGTACTGTAAAATTATTTTTCCAATTCAAAATAACATAACATTTAATTTTATAGGCAATTTCTTGTGAAAACGAAATCCTTTATATATTTTTTTCAGTGTGAAAAGCAAATAGAGACTTTTATTCTACAAATTTGAGATGTTTTTCTTGTAAAAAGGACTGCAGGAATCTCATAAGTGTAATCAAACATCAATTAAATTTCTCATCAAACGATCTGAGCTGCTATCCACATTCATTTTCTAGATCTTCTCTTTCTGTAGGTCTCATTTGTGTCTATTTTTATTTCTGTCAGTACATTTCAGTAGAAAATCTGAAACAAAGTTGATGCTTAAATGCGAAACAACTGAGATCTCTCTATTGCAGTTTCTGAGGTATGAAAGATGTCAAATGTAATGCGTAGCCTCAGGCACTAACTTTTACTAAGTGTTATGTTAAAGCTGTAATCTTACTGTGAGTCACTATAATATGGCATACTGTATATTTTCTGAATGCAGTTTGAAAAGTTTTATGCTTAAACTCTTTCTGTTCAAGCGCTAGCGTGGGCAGTTTCTCTCCTGGATGCCTGTGGGGTCAAACCCTACATCTGCCCTGTCTACATTCACCCTGTCTGAATTATTATGGATGAATGAATATTTCATAGGTAAGGGGCACTTAGACAGGAATGTTGACTTTTTGTGAGAATGATATCATAACCACAGAACACACAGACACACTAATTAATAATAAGTGGACCCCTCTCATACACACACATACACACATGTCAAGGGGAAATGGTCTGGGATGAACTCAACACAACTGCAACAGATACATTTTATGATATACACAATATGCATATACACCACTCTTATAATCTCTTATAATACAGCCCTAAATGCTATGAGAATCTCATCTTCATTTATTTATTTATTTGTTTTAGCATGGGTTAGGGTATGTGTTATTTTTCATGTGATAGGTGAAATTAGATGAATAATTACTGAAATGGTAATTTGGCAAAAGTAGTGTGTGTGTGTGTGTGTGAATCAGATCATTCATATCATGAAAACAGATCATTTATCTGTCAGAGTCAATGATTCATAAAGACACTTGAATTGGTGCCTGATTTAATCAATGTTTTGATATGAACTGGTTGAGAAACTGATTCAATGAACACTCATAAAGAAAGTTACTTGATCCGTTTCTGAATGAATAATCTCATTGAATGATTCAATGACTCACTCGCCACCTGTCCTAACAATGAAACGTGTAGAAAAAATTATAGAATCTACATTAATGATGGAAAGATCAGATTAATTTTAGATTTTCAGAATAATTCAAGATCATTTTACCAACTCTCGTTCAGCCTTGTGCAGCAAAATGAACAAATCTTAATTCAAGTCATTTAGTTTGAATGGAGTGAAATATTATATTTTCAAAAGCCAAATTCCCCATTCAAGTTCAAAAACAATCTTTCATCATATTCCACATTAGGAAATCATAAAAATGCAGCTAATGATAAATTCAAAGACACATAAATGACTAGTTCACCTCTCATTTCTTTCTTTCATCATGTGACAGATGCAATGAACTAATCTACACCACAAATGCGCAGACTGACATGCAAACAGACAATTACTATTTTTTGCCAGTAAAAAGAACAACTACAAACAATAAAACTCGTTTTTGCACCCTTTAATATTAACGTCTTCCTCAACTTGACCCATTTGGAACACATCCTGCTCTGTTTAGCATTACTTACAGTTTCATTGGCACTCTTAAATAGTGTAAAACTATCCTGCTCAATAAATACTGTGATATAAACAGCACAGCTATCGTCATCGTTCATTCGAGTCCGTACTTTCTGTGAGTGGAGTGTGTACACAGAGGCCCGCTCAGCACACTTTCAGCTCTCATACTTACACTGATCAACTGATACGCCAAGCTTCCTTCCTTTCCTCCCTCTCTTCATTCTCTCTCTCTAACGATGAAAAGAAAGAAACATATGTTCCCTTTTGGACTGACAGAACACAGGCTCTTTTTGCGCTGTCGGGAGTGTGTGTGCATTTGGGCAGGGCTGGAACTCGACATTTGCTGTGGAGGGCCAGACGTGTCACGGCGGGCACACTGTAAATATTTGTACGGGTGTCTATAAATGGGGCTGATAGGCACTTGATAACATTGTGAAATCGATCTGTACAGACTGAGGGTAAAGCGTACTTTAGCTTGACCAAGGGCAGAAGTTTTAGAGATGTGAAAAATAAGCAGGCTCAGATGGATTTTGCTGGGTTTTCTAACATTTTTGTGCTTATTTTTTAAGGAAAATCAGCACACACACACACACACACAC